AGATAAACATCATTTTTGTCTCTTAATTTCAGGGATATCTATCATTGGGTAGAAAGGGCTCTATCCTAGGTTTAGGCACTTTTAAGGCTCACTATATGTGGTTTAAGGTCAAAGTCTAAAGGTTCTCAAATTGCTCCTTACATCTTTGTCCATCACAGACTAGTAAGGCACCCTAATCCTCACCCATTACAGGCTACAAGTGAAAAAGATTCAATTTGAGTGGGAGTATTTCGCTAGCCACTACGGAGGCATTAGACCTCATGAAAGCAATAAGTACTTTACTCCTTCCTAGAGGGACAGAGCTCGGGTATAGAGCTCATGTTATGCACATGCATATGAATGACATAATTAACAAGGTAAATAAACATGAATGAATAATAACACATATATACAAACAGGTTCAATTTTATTAGGCTTTTGGATAACACAAATTATTTGCTAGCCTGACTCTCAAAGTCTCCAGCGGAGTCGCCAAGCTGTCATAACGTCTAGATCCAGGGATCTATCACTAGACATTGACTTTTAAGGAGTCGCTACCAATCTTTTTTATCTAAGTACGATTGGTCACCTAAAGAATTTATCCTTTCAGGGAACACCTAAGTTTAAGGGCCCCTAAAAGAATAGGTTCAGGTCTACTAACCAGAACAAAGTTCGGGAGTTCGGTTACGTGTGAGGAAGGTTATAGCACCCTCACAACGCCCATCAAAAGATGGTACCAGCATAATTTTGTGTTATCCGATAAGCCTTAAAATTTTATCAAGTAATTAACTATTAGAAATTATTCTCAATTGACTCTAATACTTTTAGCAAAAAATTGATAAAATTCCCTCACCTCAGAAGTATGCAAGAAAATTACTGTTTCACTTGCAGAGGCTCCATCGTCGGATTATTTAAAGAAAAATCAAAATCAAAATCAAAATAAAAAGGAAGGAAAGAATGATTGTTTTTGTGCAGGAAAATTGATACTTTCAACTTTTCCCAAAAAAAATATTCTTTTGAAACTTTAATTTCGAGGAAAATTGATACTTTCAACTTTTCCTCAAAAATTTATTTTTTTGAAAATTTATTTTTAAGGAAAATTGATACTTTCAACTTTTTCCCAAAAATATTTTTTTGGAAACTTTTTTTTTCAAGGAAAATTGATACTTTCAACTTTTCCTCAAAAATATTTTTTTGAAATTTTATTTTTAAGGAAAATTGATACTTTCAACTTTTTCCCAAATATATATTTTTTTATTTTTATTTAAAGAAAATAGAATAATAAAACAAAATAAAAATGAGAAATAAAAAATAAATAAATAAAGAAAAGTAAAACAAAAATAAAAATAAAATAAAGATAAAGAACATTAAATAAACCTAATCTAATAAATATAAATAAATAAATAAATAAAATAAATTTTAAAAAAAAAAACCTAGAGCGGCTCGGAGTACGGCTCGACTCAAGGAAGAGAAATAGCTCGGAGAAGCGGCTTGTGACCTCGGCTTAGCTTGGCTATCGGCTCGGAGTAGGGAAGACACGCGCGGGTCAGGAAGCGGGTCAACGCTCGGGTCAGGTCAGATCTTGGTAAAACGCGCAGATCATCTGGGTCACTTAAGGTAAAAACGACGTCGTTTTGGAAGGGTATATAAGGCTCTTCCCTTTGTTTTTCGATAAAAACCTTCTCCTCTCTCTCTCTCTTCTTTCTTTTTTCTCTCGTTTCTCTCTAAACGGTCGAAGAATTTCGGTTGAATGTTCACCGGATTCTGAAAATTTTCATCGGAATCTGGATTTTTTCATCGGAAGTTCGTCAGAAAGTTGGTCGATTTCTGGGATCCTTCATCGAAAATTAGGTAGCTCATCGAAAACTTCAAAGTTGGCTGGAATCATCGCCAAAAAATTCAACCTTTGCCGAAAAAATCATCGAAATTTGGAAATTTTTCAGAAATTTCCAGAAAAATTTTCGCCAAAAATCTCTAAAAAACTTATTTATGATTCTCACAGCTATTCTAATACTTCTCAACCTTCTTTTAGCCTTCAAAAACTCTTCTATACACCTTTTTTCTCTCAAATCAGTAGCTTTTTGCTCACTATTTTTCTGTCTTCTATTCTGTTCCAGAGGGTCCCTTTTATAGGGATTGATCAGAAGAATTTCTGATCAATCCCAATTCCTCTTTGGATCGGGATTCAATCATTGAATCCAACATGGACTCTTCTGATTGAATCCCAATCCAATTTCCAGCCAGATAAATAAAAAAAATAAAAGAAAAAATCAAACGAAAATAAATAAGATAAATAAAAAAATTAACAGATAAATTAAAATTAAATAACAGATAATTACATAAATATTAACAGGAAAAAAAAGAAGAAGAGAAAAAAAATAATAAAGATATATACATATTAATAAATACATAAATGCCTAAGATAAAAAATAATAATAAAAGAAAAGAAAAAATATATATACATATATAAAATAATAATAATAATAATAAAAATAAAATAAAAATGTAAAATACAAAAATAAAAATAAAAATAAAATGAAGAAAATAAAATATATACTTACCCATTTGGACCAGGCCCAATTGATCTGGGCCTAGACCAAATTGGGTGTCTACAAGTAGTAAATTAATTAATCATTGATAATTTTATAGTAAATTATTGCTAAATTAATAGTAAATCAATTAAAATTTTATAACAAATCATCAGTAATTTAATAATAAATCATCAACAATTTAATATTAAACCAATTATAAATTAGTAGTAAACCAAATATTAATTTGTAATAAATCATTGATAATTTAGCTATATATCATTGATAGTAGTAAATCATTAATAATATAGTTATAAATCAATAATAACTATTATTAATAAATTTTTTATACTTGAAGTTGGCAGGAATTGACCTCAGTTACTAACAGAAGCGAAACTAGAAATTTCATTTTGGGAGGTTAAGATAAACCTACCATAAATCTATTTAATAAAAAATTTAATGAAAAAATTATAAATTTGAATTAAACAATAATGTTATTGTATAAAAAGAAAATTATCTTGTACTAGAACTAAACTCATACTTTCCTACTGTAATCTATTGTTAAATATATGATGATACATATTTTATAAATAATTACTAAAAGTATATCATAAGTTATCAGAAAATTACTAAAATTACATTAAGAGGTTACTAAAATTTTGTTGAAGATTATAAAAATTGTATCAATAGTTACCGATATCGTATCAATAGTTACCAAAATTATATCATAAGTTACCAAAATTGTATTAAAATTACCAAAAGTTTATCAAAGGTTATCAAATTTTACTTATATTAATCAAAATTAAAATTAAATTATTAGTATTTATTATTATTATTATTATTATTATTATTATTATTATTATTATTTTAGTATAAAAAATTATTTATTGACATGAATTTCTAAAGATAAGAATTATTTGTGTAGTATGCATGTATCAACTTCTAAAATATAATCTAATTTATATAATTAGCTTGACAAGATTCTAGAAATGACATCAAAAGTTTATTAAAATTTTGTTAAAAATTATAAAAAATGTATCAATGATTACCAAAATTATATCATAAGTTACCAAAATTGTATTGAAGTTAACAAAAATTTTGCAAAAGTTATCAAATTTTATTTATATTATATCAAAATTAAAATTAAATTATTAGTATTTATTATTATTATTATTATTATAATATAAAAAGTTATTTACTTACATAAATTTATAAAGATAAGAATTACACGTGTATTATGAATGTATCAACCTCTAAAATATAATCTAATTTATAAATCATGATTGACAAATTCTAGAATATTCACACTAATTAATAATGCAAGAAAATTTTGAGTTGTAATTTTATTTTATTTTCTTGTTTCCTTTGATTCCTTTGATTAAATTTTATTATACAAATCTATCAAAAAAATCCAAATGAAGTCAAAAGCGGGCTTCTAAAGCATCAGTCTTCGGCCCATAAAAGCTTATATAAAATGGAAATTAATGTTTAGTACATAAAAACATCTGAATTCATTGTTAAGAGACGAAAATGAATTCCACAGCAAAGCTTTTAATCCTTCTCACAAGTTTTTTGTGCCTGTTTCTTCTCATAACTCTTTTCAAATTCCTTCACAAATATTGGTGGATACCTTTACGCATACAGTACGCACTGAGTTTACAGGGAATCAAAGGACCTCCATATGAATTCATCCATGGAAACAACAAAGCATCTGTCCAATTCAGAAAAGAAGCATTAAACAAACCTATGGCTGCCTTAACTCACGATATATTTCCCAGGGTGCTGCCTCAGTTTTACTCCTGGACCAACATATATGGTAAGATGATTCCGATGTTTTTCACTTGCAATATGTTTCTAACTTCAAATAAAAAAAATGAACCCTTTTTTTTGTTCTTTTATAAGGGAAGAATTATCTTACCTGGGAAGGAACTCAAGCTCAACTGGTAATTTCAGAACCAGAACTAGTCAAAAAGGTTCTGAAAAATATCGAAGGATCTTTTCCGAAAAAGAAGGCCGAAGGCTTTATCTATAAGTTACTTGGGGACGGGCTTCTGACAACCGAAGGTGAAAAATGGGCCAGGCAAAGGAAGTTGGCAAATCATGCTTTTCATGGGGAGAGCTTAAAAGTAAAACTTCGAACAAAGTCTATTCGTACTGACATTTAAGAATTATGAATTAGTTTCTTACAGAATGGATGGTTGTATTTGGCAGAGCATGAATCCAGCAATAATTGCTGCCGTTGAGACAATGCTAGAGAAGTGGAAAGGCCAAGAAGGGAAAGAGATCGAAGTGTTTGAACAATTCAGGTTACTGACTTCAGAAGTTATATCTAGAACAGCTTTTGGCAGCTGTTACTTGGAAGGGGAGAAGATTTTTCAAATGTTGATTAAATTATCAATACTTGCTACCAGAAATCTTTATAAATCTCGGATTCCTGGCATCAGGTAAGTTAGTAAGTTAATTTGTAACGTTCTAATCTCACGTCGAGGCATTATAAAGATCTGTTTAAATATATGCAAATATTAAATCCATACTGTTTTTTTGAGATAAAATCACCAAACTTTCGAGTCAAATTGAATAATATCTTGGTCTGGTGTGGTCTTCACATGATTAATCTAGACTCTGGAGTTTGCCCCTGATTTCCAAATAGAAAGGAAATACCTAGAAGTCACTTGAGTGCAAAATCTGAAATATGATCACAAAGGATTTAGTTTTTCTCCTTTTCTCCATGTATACGGCTTATACCTTTGTTTGCTTTTGCAGCAAGATTTGGAAAACTACTGATGAAATAGAATCAGACAAGCTTGCTAAAGGAATACATGAATGTGTGATGGAAATAATTAAGAAAAGGGAAGAGAAAATAGTGACTGGAGAAGCTGACAGTTTCAGCAGTGATTTTCTAGGATTACTTGTAAATGCTTTTCATGATTCGGATGACAAAAACAGGCTCTCCTTAGAAGACTTGGTAGATGAGTGCAAAACATTCTACTTTGTTGGACAAGAAATGACTAAGTCCTTGCTCACGTGGACAGTCCTGCTTTTATCAATCCATTCAGATTGGCAAGAGAAAGCAAGACGAGAGGTGATCGAGGTATTCGGTGACAAAAATCCTCATTCTGATGGCATTTCCAAACTAAAAACTGTAAGCAAAACCGCAATCTCTGACGATTTCAATAGCGTGCATTACCAGCATTTAATAAATTATAAATTTATTTTGCTCACAGATGAACTTGATCATCTATGAAACCCTGAGATTGTATCCTCCTGTATTTGCCATATCTAGAAAGGTTGCAAGAGATGTTCAATTGGGAAAGCTCATTATTCCTGTTAATATGGAGATTATGATCCCGATCATAGCACTTCACCATGACCCTCAACTATGGGGTGATGATGTGCATCTTTTCAAACCAGAGAGATTCGCAGAAGGTATTGCCAAGGCTACCAAATACAATACGGCTGCATTCAGTCCCTTCTCATTGGGACCTCGATCTTGCGTGGGTATGGGCTTTGCAACCACAGAAACAAAGATTGCTCTCTCAATGATCCTACAACGCTACACTATTACTCTCTCCCCAGCCTATATTCATGCGCCATTTCCTCAATTTATGCTTCAGCCACAACATGGACTTCAAGTAATGCTTCATTCTTTACAGAGTGATGCCTAAAGTTTTTAAAGCAATAGCTGCTTCTATTAGTGTCCAAAATGGTAAAATAGTTATAATAAGTGAGAAACAGTTGTAAATAATGGTGTGATCAATGTACAACACACAGTTCTTACCAGCCATTTTTGGCTCCTAATTACGTATCAATTCAAGTTTTTAAATTGGGTGATCCTTGACATGCTGTCAGAGCCTTTCAGTTTTAAACAATTTCTTCCTCTTTTCCATATTTCTTGGCCACTTACGGGTGCAGGGAACCGGGTAACTGGTGGATTTGTCGACTACTGTATCCAGAATGCCAGTTGCATGGCAATTGCAGTAAGAAAGAAAGCAAAAAAACTTGGCGGTTATTTGATCACCACTAAGCTGCACAAGGATTTCTGGCTCTTGGCTTAAACTTTTATTTGGGAGTTAGGGTAAACACACCATGAATCTATTCAATAAAAAAATTAGTGAAAAAATTTCAAAATTTGAATAAAATAATAATGTTATTATATAAAAAGAACATTATCTCATATATTATTAATGGATTTTTAAATTTCATATTTCATAGTTATAAACATATAACAATATATTAGTAAATTAATAATAGGTTAATAAAAAAAGTGATAACTTAGTAGTTAATAATTGATAACTTAATAATAAATTAATGATAATTTAATAGTAAATTAGTGATAATGTAATCACTACAGGGGGTTTGATTTTTAATAGCATTTTTTTAACTGTTTAGCGACGTTTATTAACGCCACTATAAGGCTGCGACGTTTGCGAAAAAATGTCACACAGAGTGTCGTCTATACATTCGTCGCTATAAATAACGACATTTTCGAAAAAATGTCTCAATATTAGCGGCGTTTGTATGTGAAGCACCGCCATTTTGAATTGGCGTTTATTATCTTAGAGGCGCGGCTATTTCAATGACGTTTTTATGAGAAAAAACGCCATTTTGTTTGTAGTTAATAGTTTTCAGTTTAATAGTAATTAATTAATAAACTTAGTAATAAATAATAAATAACTTAGTAATAAATCAATAATAATTGTGTTATTAATCATTGAAAACTTAAAAGTAAATCAATATAATTTAGTAGTTGCTGATCATCAATAATTTAATAGTTAATCAATAAAATAACTTAATAGTAAATTATGAATAATTTAATATAAATAAGTTATAACTTGATAATGAATCATGGTTAATTTAGTAATAAATCAATGACATTTTTTAGTAAATAATAAAAAAAAATTAAGTAGTAAATCAATGATAACATAATAGTAAATCATTAATAATTTAGTGGTAAATAAATGATGATTTAGAAGTAAATTAATTAATCATTGATAATTTTATAGTAAATTATTGATAAATTAATAGTAAATCAATTAAAATTTTATAACAAATCATCAGTTATTTAATAGTAAATCATCAATAATTTAATTAGTAAACTAATTATAAATTAATAGTTAAATCAATATTAATTTGTAATAAATCATTGATAATTTAGCTGTATATCATTGATAGTAGTAAATAATTGATAATATAGTTATAAATCAATAACAACTTAATTATAAATTATTAATAAATTTTTTTATACTTGAAGTGGCAGGAATTGACCTCGGTTACTAACAGAAGCGAAACTAAATTTCATCTTTGGCAGGTTAAGATAAACCACCATAAATCTATTTAATAAAAAATTTAATGAAAAAATTATAAATTTGAATTAAACAATAATGTTATTATATAAAAAAAAAAATTATCTTATACTAGAACTAAACTCATACTTTCCTACTGTAACTATTAGTTAAATATTATGATGACACATATTTTTATAAATAACTACTAAAAGTATATCATAAGTTATCAGAAAATTACTAAAATTACATTAAGAGGTTACTAAAATTTTGTCCAAGATTATAAAAATTGTATCAATGGTTACCGATATTGTATCAATAGTTACCAAAATTATATCATAAGTTACCAAAATTGTATTAAAATTACCAAAAGTTTATCAAAGGTTATCAAATTTTACTTATATTAATCAAAATTAAAATTAAATTATTAGTATTTATTATTATTATTATTATTTTAGTATAAAAAATTATTTATTGACATGAATTTCTAAAGATAGGAATTACTTGTGTAGTATGCATGTATCAACTTCTAAAATATAATCTAATTTATATAATTAGCTGACAATATTCTAGAAATGATATCAAAAGTTTATTAAAATTTTGTTAAAAATTATCAAAATTGTATCAAAAGTTATCAAAATTATATCATAAGTTACTAAAATTGTATTGAAGTTACCAAAAATTTATCAAAAGTTATAAAATGTTATTTATATTATATCAAAATTAAAATTAAATTATTAGTATTTATTATTATTATTATATAAAAAATTACTTATTGACATAAATTTATAAAGATAAGAATTACACGTGTATTATGAATGTATCAACCTCTAAAATATATTCTAATTTATAATATCAGCTGACAAAATTATAGAAATGACACTAATGCAAGAAAATTTTGAGTTGTAATTTCATTTTATTTTTACTAAAATATAATCTAATTTATAATATCAACTGACAAAATTCTAGAAATGACACTAATTAATAATGCAAGAAAATTTTGAGTTGTAATTTTATTTTATTTTCTTGTTTCCTTTGATTCCTTTATGATTACATTTTATTATACAAATCTATCAAAAAAATCCAAATGAAGTCAAAAGCGGGCTTCTAAAGCATCAGTCTTCGGCCCATAAAAGCTTATATAAAATGGAAATTAATGTTTAGTACATAAAAACATCTGAATTCATTGTTAAGAGACGAAAATGAATTCCACAGCAAAGCTTTTAATCCTTCTCACAAGTTTTTTGTGCCTGTTTCTTCTCATAACTCTATTCAAATTCCTTCACAAATATTGGTGGATACCTTTACGCATACAGTACGCACTGAGTTTACAGGGAATCAAAGGACCTCCATATGAATTCATCCATGGAAACAACAAAGCATCTGTCCAATTCAGAAAAGAAGCATTAAACAAACCTATGGCTGCCTTAACTCACGATATATTTCCCAGGGTGCTGCCTCAGTTTTACTCCTGGACCAACATATATGGTAAGATGATTCCGATGTTTTTCACTTGCAATATGTTTCTAACTTCAAATAAAAAAAATGAACCCCTTTTTTTTGTTCTTTTATTAGGGAAGAATTATCTTACCTGGGAAGGAACTCAAGCTCAACTGGTAATTTCAGAACCAGAACTAGTCAAAAAGGTTCTGAAAAATATCGAAGGATCTTTTCCGAAAAAGAAGGCCGAAGGCTTTATCTATAAGTTACTTGGGGACGGGCTTCTGACAACCGAAGGTGAAAAATGGGCCAGGCAAAGGAAGTTGGCAAATCATGCTTTTCATGGGGAGAGCTTAAAAGTAAAACTTCGAACAAAGTCTATTTCGTACTGACATTTAAGAATTATGAATTAGTTTCTTACAGAATGGATGGTTGTATTTGGCAGAGCATGAATCCAGCAATAATTGCTGCCGTTGAGACAATGCTAGAGAAGTGGAAAGGTCAAGAAGGGAAAGAGATCGAAGTGTTTGAACAATTCAGGTTACTGACTTCAGAAGTTATATCTAGAACAGCTTTTGGTAGCTGTTACTTGGAAGGGGAGAAGATTTTTCAAATGTTGACTAAATTATCAATACTTGCTACCAGAAATCTCTATAAATCTCGGATTCCTGGCATCAGGTAAGTTAGTAAGTTAATTTGTAACGTTCTAATCTCTCGTCGAGGCTTTATAAAGATCTGTTTAAATATATGCAAATATTAAATCCATAATGTTTTTGTGAGATAAAATCACCAAACTTTCAAGTAAAATTGAATAATATCTTGGTCTGGTGTGGTCTTCACATGATTAATCTAGACTCTGGAGTTTGCCCCTGATTTCCAAATAGAAAGGAAATACCTAGAAGTCACTTGAGTGCAAAATCTGAAATATGATCACAAAGGATTAAGTTTTTTCTCCTTTTCTCCATGTATACGGCTTATACCTTTGTTTGCTTTTGCAGCAAGATTCGGAAAACTACTGATGAAATAGAATCAGAAAAGCTTGCTAAAGGAATACATGAATGTGTGATGGAAATGATTAAGAAAAGGGAAGAGAAAATAGTGACTGGAGAAGCTGACAGTTTCGGCAATGATTTTCTAGGATTACTTGTAAATGCTTTTCATGATTCGGATGACAAAAACAGGCTCTCCGTAGAAGACTTGGTAGATGAGTGCAAAACATTCTACTTTGTTGGACAAGAAATGACTAAGTCCTTGCTCACATGGACAGTCCTGCTTTTATCAATCCATTCAGATTGGCAAGAGAAAGCAAGACGAGAGGTGATCGAGGTATTCGGTGACAAAAATCCTCATTCTGAAGGCATTTCCAAACTAAAAACTGTAAGCAAAACCGCAATCTCTGACGATTTCAATAGCGTGCATTACCAGCGTTTAATAAATTATAAATTTATTTTGCTCACAGATGAACTTGATCATCTATGAAACCCTGAGATTGTATCCTCCTGTATTTGCCATATCTAGAAAGGTTGCAAGAGATGTTCAATTGGGAAAACTCATTATTCCTGTTAATATGGAGATTATGATCCCGATCATAGCACTTCACCATGACCGTCAACTATGGGTGATGATGTGCATCTTTTCAAACCAGAGAGATTCGCTGAAGGTATTGCCAAAGCTACCAAATACAATACGGCTGCATTCAGTCCCTTCTCATTGGGACCTCGATCTTGCGTGGGTATGGGCTTTGCAACCACAGAAACAAAGATTGCTCTCTCAATGATCCTACAACGCTACACTATTACTCTCTCCCCAGCCTATATTCATGCGCCATTTCCTCAATTTATGCTTCAGCCACAACATGGACTTCAAGTAATGCTTCATTCTTTACAGAGTGATTTGTAAAGTTTTTAAAGCAATAGCTGCTTCTATTAGTGTCCAAAATGGTAAAATAGTCATGATAAGTGAGAAACAGTTGTAAATAATGGTGTGATCAATGTACAACACACAGTTCTTACCAGCCATTTTTGGCTCCTAATTACGTATCAATTCAAGTTTTTAAATTGGGTGATCCTTGACATGCTGTCAGAGCCTTTCAGTTTTAAACAATTTCTTCCTCTTTTCCATATTTCTTGGCCACTTACGGGTGCAGGGAACCGGGTAACTGGTGGATTTGTCGACTACTGTATCCAGAATGCCAGTTGCATGGCAATTGCAGTAAGAAAGAAAAGCAAAAAACTTGGCGGTTATTTGATCACCACTAAGCTGCACAAGGATTTCTGGCTCTTGGCTTAAACTTTTATTTGGGAGTTAGGGTAAACACACCATGAATCTATTCAATAAAAAAATTAGTGAAAAAATTTCAAAATTTGAATAAAATAATAATGTTATTATATAAAAAGAACATTATCTCATATATTATTAATGGATTTTTAAATTTCATATTTCATAGTTATAAACATATAACAATATATTAGTAAATTAATAATAGGTTAATAAAAAAAGTGATAACTTAGTAGTTAATAATTGATAACTTAATAATAAATTAATGATAATTTAATAGTAAATTAGTGATAATGTAATCACTACAGGGGGTTTGATTTTTAATAGCATTTTTTTAACTGTTTAGCGACGTTTATTAACGCCACTATAAGGCTGCGACGTTTGCGAAAAAATGTCACACAGAGTGTCGTCTATACATTCGTCGCTATAAATAACGACATTTTCGAAAAAATGTCTCAATATTAGCGGCGTTTGTATGTGAAGCACCGCCATTTTAATGGCGTTTATATCTTAGAGGCGCGGCTGTTTCAATGACGTTTTTATGAGAAAAACGCCATTTTGTTGTAGTTAATAGTTTTCAGTTTAATAGTAATTAATTAATAAACTTAGTAATAAATAATAAATAACTTAGTAATAAATCAATAATAATTGTGTTATTAATCATTGAAAACTTAAAAGTAAATCAATATAATTTAGTAGTTGCTGATCATCAATAATTTAATAGTTAATCAATAAAATAACTTAATAGTAAATTATGAATAATTTAATATAAATAAGTTATAACTTGATAATGAATCATGGTTAATTTAGTAATAAATCAATGACATTTTTTAGTAAATAATAAAAAAAAATTAAGTAGTAAATCAATGATAACATAATAGTAAATCATTAATAATTTAGTGGTAAATAAATGATGATTTAGAAGTAAATTAATTAATCATTGATAATTTTATAGTAAATTATTGATAAATTAATAGTAAATCAATTAAAATTTTATAACAAATCATCAGTTATTTAATAGTAAATCATCAATAATTTAATAGTAAACTAATTATAAATTAATAGTAAATCAATATTAATTTGTAATAAATCATTGATAATTTAGCTGTATATCATTGATAGTAGTAAATAATTGATAATATAGTTATAAATCAATAACAACTTAATTATAAATTATTAATAAATTTTTTATACTTGAAGTTGGCAGGAATTGACCTCGGTTACTAACAGAAGCGAAACTAAAAATTTCATCTTGGCAGGTTAAGATAAACCTACCATAAATCTATTTAATAAAAAATTTAATGAAAAAATTATAAATTTGAATTAAACAATAATGTTATTATATAAAAAAAAAAATTATCTTATACTAGAACTAAACTCATACTTTCCTACTGTAATCTATTGTTAAATATATGATGACACATATTTTATAAATAACTACTAAAAGTATATCATAAGTTATCAGAAAATTACTAAAATTACATTAAGAGGTTACTAAAATTTTGTCCAAGATTATAAAAATTGTATCAATGGTTACCGATATTGTATCAATAGTTACCAAAATTATATCATAAGTTACCAAAATTGTATTAAAATTACCAAAAGTTTATCAAAGGTTATCAAATTTTACTTATATTAATCAAAATTAAAATTAAATTATTAGTATTTATTATTATTATTATTATTTTAGTATAAAAAATTATTTATTGACATGAATTTCTAAAGATAGGAATTACTTGTGTAGTATGCATGTATCAACTTCTAAAATATAATCTAATTTATATAATTAGCTGACAATATTCTAGAAATGATATCAAAAGTTTATTAAAATTTTGTTAAAAATTATCAAAATTGTATCAAAAGTTATCAAAATTATATCATAAGTTACTAAAATTGTATTGAAGTTACCAAAAATTTATCAAAAGTTATAAAATGTTATTTATATTATATCAAAATTAAAATTAAATTATTAGTATTTATTATTATTATTATATAAAAAATTACTTATTGACATAAATTTATAAAGATAAGAATTACACGTGTATTATGAATGTATCAACCTCTAAAATATATTCTAATTTATAATATCAGCTGACAAAATTATAGAAATGACACTAATGCAAGAAAATTTTGAGTTGTAATTTCATTTTATTTTTACTAAAATATAATCTAATTTATAATATCAACTGACAAAATTCTAGAAATGACACTAATTAATAATGCAAGAAAATTTTGAGTTGTAATTTTATTTTATTTTCTTGTTTCCTTTGATTCCTTTATGATTACATTTTATTATACAAATCTATCAAAAAAATCCAAATGAAGTCAAAAGCGGGCTTCTAAAGCATCAGTCTTCGGCCCATAAAAGCTTATATAAAATGGAAATTAATGTTTAGTACATAAAAACATCTGAATTCATTGTTAAGAGACGAAAATGAATTCCACAGCAAAGCTTTTAATCCTTCTCACAAGTTTTTTGTGCCTGTTTCTTCTCATAACTCTATTCAAATTCCTTCACAAATATTGGTGGATACCTTTACGCATACAGTACGCACTGAGTTTACAGGGAATCAAAGGACCTCCATATGAATTCATCCATGGAAACAACAAAGCATCTGTCCAATTCAGAAAAGAAGCATTAAACAAACCTATGGCTGCCTTAACTCACGATATATTTCCCAGGGTGCTGCCTCAGTTTTACTCCTGGACCAACATATATGGTAAGATGATTCCGATGTTTTTCACTTGCAATATGTTTCTAACTTCAAATAAAAAAAATGAACCCCTTTTTTTTGTTCTTTTATTAGGGAAGAATTATCTTACCTGGGAAGGAACTCAAGCTCAACTGGTAATTTCAGAACCAGAACTAGTCAAAAAGGTTCTGAAAAATATCGAAGGATCTTTTCCGAAAAAGAAGGCCGAAGGCTTTATCTATAAGTTACTTGGGGACGGGCTTCTGACAACCGAAGGTGAAAAATGGGCCAGGCAAAGGAAGTTGGCAAATCATGCTTTTCATGGGGAGAGCTTAAAAGTAAAACTTCGAACAAAGTCTATTTCGTACTGACATTTAAGAATTATGAATTAGTTTCTTACAGAATGGATGGTTGTATTTGGCAGAGCATGAATCCAGCAATAATTGCTGCCGTTGAGACAATGCTAGAGAAGTGGAAAGGTCAAGAAGGGAAAGAGATCGAAGTGTTTGAACAATTCAGGTTACTGACTTCAGAAGTTATATCTAGAACAGCTTTTGGTAGCTGTTACTTGGAAGGGGAGAAGATTTTTCAAATGTTGACTAAATTATCAATACTTGCTACCAGAAATCTCTATAAATCTCGGATTCCTGGCATCAGGTAAGTTAGTAAGTTAATTTGTAACGTTCTAATCTCTCGTCGAGGCTTTATAAAGATCTGTTTAAATATATGCAAATATTAAATCCATAATGTTTTTGTGAGATAAAATCACCAAACTTTCAAGTAAAATTGAATAATATCTTGGTCTGGTGTGGTCTTCACATGATTAATCTAGACTCTGGAGTTTGCCCCTGATTTCCAAATAGAAAGGAAATACCTAGAAGTCACTTGAGTGCAAAATCTGAAATATGATCACAAAGGATTAAGTTTTTTCTCCTTTTCTCCATGTATACGGCTTATACCTTTGTTTGCTTTTGCAGCAAGATTCGGAAAACTACTGATGAAATAGAATCAGAAAAGCTTGCTAAAGGAATACATGAATGTGTGATGGAAATGATTAAGAAAAGGGAAGAGAAAATAGTGACTGGAGAAGCTGACAGTTTCGGCAATGATTTTCTAGGATTACTTGTAAATGCTTTTCATGATTCGGATGACAAAAACAGGCTCTCCGTAGAAGACTTGGTAGATGAGTGCAAAACATTCTACTTTGTTGGACAAGAAATGACTAAGTCCTTGCTCACATGGACAGTCCTGCTTTTATCAATCCATTCAGATTGGCAAGAGAAAGCAAGACGAGAGGTGATCGAGGTATTCGGTGACAAAAATCCTCATTCTGAAGGCATTTCCAAACTAAAAACTGTAAGCAAAACCGCAATCTCTGACGATTTCAATAGCGTGCATTACCAGCGTTTAATAAATTATAAATTTATTTTGCTCACAGATGAACTTGATCATCTATGAAACCCTGAGATTGTATCCTCCTGTATTTGCCATATCTAGAAAGGTTGCAAGAGATGTTCAATTGGGAAAACTCATTATTCCTGTTAATATGGAGATTATGATCCCGATCATAGCACTTCACCATGACCG